TAATACATAATTGTTATATATTTATTATACATTAATATAATTTGTATATAATATAACTAATATATATTATATATATCTATAGACAGATATTGATTTTGTTTTTGCAGTTTCTCACATTCACTTATAATGTCCATAGCACTCAGTACTGGCTAGGCTTGGCTCCATTGTAAAATTGACAGAAATCTTAGTGGCTCACAACAACAAATGTCTATTTCTTATTTTTCCATGATTCCTATCTCTAATTGAAATACCTGTGGCTTCCATTTACTTCACCTTTCTCCCAGGATATAGGCTGTCTGAGAAAATTCTGTAAGAACACTGTATATGTTATATCAGTGATGATAGAACTGGACAAACCACAAGCCAATCTTACATCTACTGCTCAGAAATTATACCTCTCATTTCTGCTCATCATATTGGGCAATAATAATTATATTATCACTCCTGTGTTCTGTAGGCAGAAAATGTCAAGGTAATACTCCCACAGAGAAGAGTTTTCCAGACTGTGAACAGAACTAGAGTGTTGTTATACCCCCATTTTACAGGTAATAAAGAAACTGGCTTAAGGAAATGTTAAACAGGTTGTCAAAGTCAGTGGTCTGCAGTAGAACTTTATGCCATGGTGGAGATGTGCTATGTCTGAACTCTCCAGCATGGGAGCCATGGATGGAGAACATGAGTCCAGGAGGCAGGTGAAATAAAGCTGGTTTGGCTGAGGCATATTTTTAAAAGCTTATTTAGTTTTAATGAATTAACTTTGGAACATACATATCAATATGTAGTTCATGGGAACTATACTGGGTAGAGCAAGTCCAAGAACACAAATGGCAGAAGGTAAAATTTGCATCCAATGCTATGGCTAAAAAAAAGGACATAATTCCTCAGTTCTGAGGCTGCTCTTGTCTACTGTCTTGTACTCATTCTAAAATGTAAACTCAATAAATACAAGACCTTGTCATAATTTTGTATACCATACTTGAAAAGTAACCCCAAAGAGGATCAGTAAAGAAGAACGTGTTATGTTTTAGGTGTTTCACATAAAAATTTGAATTAACAATTGTGTGAGCAGTCTGGTCAAATGTTTTACTCCACAATCTGGTCAGCAAGAGATGCTGTATATTTGAGTAGCAGATTTTCTGACCTTATGGTTTTCAGAGAGTTATTCATCTATCAATATACCTTTGGAGTTCTATGCAACACATTTGTTTAACCGAAAAATTGTAAGTACCAAGATATAATGCATATAGCCTTAGGTTCCGTGGAATGGAATAAAAAGGATTGAACACAAAAGGCTGCCTCATATCTGAGACCATGTTTTTTTAATCCAGTGATTCTCAGACAGGAGTGATTCTGTGGTGACATCTCTCTAGGATATTTGGCAATGTCTGCAATTTTTTTTGTTTGTTAGAATTTTGGAATTAGGGTGCTATAGGTATCTGATGTGTGGGTACTAATAATGCTTATAAATGTCCAACCATGAACAGAATGGCCCCATCACACAATGAATGACCCAGCACACAATATTAAAATTACAATGTTCAGAAACCATGTTTTAAACTCAATGTTTTTCATAATGCAATTTCACAGGAATCAGAAAAATCATCCAAGGAGACACGAAAGAAAAAGTTGTGTATTTTGGAAAGAATACAGAGGGACTCATATACAGAATATTTGAATTCAAACATTGAAACAGTGACAGGAAAGAGCAACCCATGGTGGGGGGGGACAGGCTGAAGGCTGACTCGGGGTGAGTGTGCTCTGAGTTTTTCTCTCACTACCCCAGTGGGCCTGTGACACTGTGAGATTGTAGCTTTTATCATGAGACTGACAGAAGAAGTCAGCATTATCTCCAATCTGCAGCCCAGAATTGGTCAGGGAGGCAGAGTTGGAGGGGCAGTCCATGGAGCCAGAGAACTGATCAGAACTAGATAAGTGACTTGAATATTTGACATAAGACATGAGAATTGAAAGTCAACAAGAGAGTTGAATTTAAAAGCATTTTGGAGAGAGAATCCACATGGCTGATGACCAGTTGGATCTCAGAGTAGAGTAGAGAAAAGAGTCCATATAAATTGGAGGTTTTTCATATTGTGAACCAGTTGTGTGGCTGCCCTTAACTTTGGTAGGAAATTTTAAATAGAACCTCATTATGACTGACACATTGGTAAGAGTTCATTTTCCTATTTCAGAAAGGCAGGAACAAGGCATTGAAGCAGGTGTACCTATGATGGTGAGGCTCTGCCACCCATTAACACAGACACACAGGCACACACAGTGGACTCTGTTCATGTTATAAGTTGTCAGACTGAAATGCAGTGAGGTATCCCCAGCTACCTATGGGGGCTACAGAAGAGACATAAAAGCCTTTTGAAGTTAGAAAAATCCTTTTTAAATTATTCAAGATTTTACGCAATTCTTTGTGTTAACATATATTTATAAAGACCATACTAACATCAGCTTGGTGCCAAATAACAATGTAATCTGAAGAGCCAGGAGGGAACCCCACACTCTGGTGTGCTCACATCAGTGGTTCTGTTAGGGATGAGGAGGGGCCTACTCTTAGCTTTCCTGTTTCCCAGGGTTTTCCCCTGGGAGATGGCATCAATACCACCTACCACTGCTAACACCAGTAGTCAGCCAGCAGGCTCTCCTTTGCTGGCTATTTCCCACTTTCTTCTCTAGCCTCTAACACCTCCTTCCACGTATCCCTTCTATTATTCCTGATTTATCTTGTCAATTACATCAGAAGATAACTCAACAAGCTTTTCTACCCACTCTGAGCTTTTTAAGTGTTGAAGGTGAGGTGCCACAATTTAATCAACTCCAGATATTCACATTTTCTTTATTTTTTTTTTTAGACTGAGTCTCAGTCTGTCACCCAAGCTAAAGTGCAATGGCATGATTTTGGCCTACTGCAACCTCCGCCTCCTGGGTTCAAGGGATTCTCCTGCCTTAGCCTCTTGGTTAGCTGGGATTACAGGCATGTGCCACCATGCCTATCTAATTTTTGTATTTTTAGTAGGGATGAGGTTTCACAATGTGGGCCAGGCTGGTCTCGAGATTCTGACTTCAGAAGCTCACATTGACCTCCCAAGGTGCCGGAATTGCAGATGTGAGCCACCATGCCCGACCCACATTTCCTTTATACTGTACCTGACCTTTACAATGATATCCTATAATCTTTTATCTACTGCTCTCAAGTATTTGTGATTTTATTTCATTGATTAATCTGCTCCTTAGAGAATAATTTTCCATTTATTGTGTTTATAGGATGCATTAGGTTTTAACTTCACAGTAAGAATCATAGTTTCTTAAGAAGTTTAAGTTTTTAAATAAAGTATATTTTAATTGTTGGTAAAAGTCTAAAATGTCACATGCCAAATAAACAAATCGGGGTCTCTGAAAAAATAAAATGTTAGGCTCTTTGATCAATGTGTTTCTATGTTGTGATTGTATGGGGATCATTTGAATGATGGCTGAAGGTGGGCTTGGCGTTGGGACTCACTTCACTGGAAGAGAGGGCAGAAACCTCCCTCTGCATTGCACTTGCATAGGACACAGTGTTCTTTCCTGAGTTGCATAGTACAAGTGAATGTCTCTGGAGGCATGTGGGGGGCAAACACATGGGGGGCTTTTGTCCACCATTAGAAATGTGCTGTTCTCCCACATAAATTTTTATCTCAATAAAAAACTGTCTTTAAACTGGGTATTTTTTCCCAAAAATATCAAAAATTACTGTCAACTAAGACATAACACTCCCTCTTCATTTGTTCTTTCCAGATACTGCATGTGGTATGTCAGAGGATGAGGAAAGGGCACAAGAAGAACACACACATGAGATCATTGTCTTGTATGGGTTTTGGGGTTAAATAGGGAAGTGGGGCCCAGGAAGCCTCAACAAAGTGTGAGGAACAAGTCGGAGTCTGCAGAAGGAATAAAGGGATATCTATGACAGAGGGAAAGGGGATTCTAATGAGAGGACAGGCCTGATCCCAGGCCACAGGAAGATGGGATAAGGTAGTGGTGACCCTGCTGATCACACACTCAAGAGCAGAGAGCTGGATCCTCAGAGCATTGAGTCCACTATCTCCAAATAAAATATAGAAGGAAAATCTGGGAAAATAATTATTTCCTTAGTTAAACCTTGCATTCATTTTTACTAATGACTAATGCATATGTTCATATAAGTATCTAGCCACAAATACATTCACAATAATGTTTCCTATAAATATTCATTAATGCTGCAGATTTAGTTTGTTGGGATTCATTCAGGGTGGCTGGCAAAATATTGGGGAAATATTAGGGAAAGTTATAAGATTACAGTCTCAAACCTTTGGAAGGCTGAAACGTTTTAATGGAACAGGTTGAAGGCAGCCAGTTCTTACGTTAGAATATTAAATCATAGGATAAAGATTTAGGACAATAAAAGCTTCCCCAGTTAAGTCTGTTTATTCCATATTTCTTTGCCTCTACTCTGTTTACTCATGTAAATGGTGTACTAGATAGCCCTGTCAGGGAGAGCTCGAAGGCGAATTACTCATTAATAGTGTTTATTCTGGCCCCCAGAACCAAGACCTTTTATCATTTGTAAAACCACTCTTAACCATGTTAATCATCCACAAGCGTGTTGACATAGAACCTCTGTTATTAAATCTATACTGAATAAATGAGAAGAGGTACAGGGAGTCATGATGGGTTAGCTGCAATTGCCCTCTGAAAGCAGTTGACAACCATCCCCAGCCCACTGAAATCACTGTACTAGGTGTGAGAGTGTGTTTTATTTATCCATCACTAAGTCAGGGACAACAGGACAGGCTTCTTCAGGTGATAATCAGTGTCTCGTTAGTTATTTTAACTCATGACATTATTTTAATAATTTTGAATAGTACATAATTTGTCATGTGGAAACCAGCCCTTGCCATTTTTCATTTAGTTTAAACAGCGCTCTTTGGGGTCGCCACATGCTGAGTGAGGCCGGGTAGCTCTTGAGTTTTTGTCTCACTTACCCTGATGCTCTGTGTGAGCACTGAGGCTGTTTTCCCAGGCTGAGCAGTAATATGCAGCATTGTCCTTGGTCTGGAGGCCAGAGATGGTCAGAGATGCCACATTCTTAACCAGGAGCCAGGAAATCTCTCTGAGATTCCTGAGAGTTGGCTGTTTTTCCTGTTGATCAGGTGTTTGGGGGCATGGCCCTGGTGCTGCTGTAGCCAGACTGCTCCATCTTTGCCAACATCATTGCTGCCCCCAGTGCAGGTGTGTGTGGTTATCTGTCTCAAGTCCTTGGAAACACGGAGCTGCTGAGTCTGCCCTGCCTGTGTCACAGACACTGTAAGGGGACAGAGAGGACTATGAGAGCAGAATTACTGCCCACTGAGCTAGATAGTGAGGGGTATAGAGCAGGGGTATTGAGTGTGGATCCTCTGACATAAGGTTCTTCCTCACCTGAATAGTGAGGAAGGAGGAAGGGGAGAGGAGCCCAGAGCATGGTGCAGATTTCCACCTTGCTTCCTGAAGTTCTGCTTTGGAGACTGAGCTCCTCTAAGTACCTTTATATCTACCCAAACCATCATGGGGTAGAGTCACTGCATTCACATAAGACCTTGCTCTATGTCTCTGACTTGTCCACCCTGCTGTGTGTACTCACAGGTCATAAGGAGAAATATAAAAAGGAGATGAGCTGTCCCAGTGGGTGGAGATGGCCTGGCTCATGATGGCTCCTGGGTCCAGGCAGGTCAGCATTGCAGCCCAAACCTAGTCCAGTGAAGTGATGGCTGAATGCCCTTGAAGGACTTGAGTGACTTTCATTTGGGCAGGATCATCTCAGTGATGATCCTCAGTGTCCTCAGACCCCAAATCCTTCCTGCCTCTCTGCCACATCCAGACATTTCAGTGACAGGAACACCGGTTGTCCTGATCCTCTTTTCTGAAGCTGTTCATGAGATTGGAGAGGAACCTAGGGTAGCAGGGAATTCTAAACAAAGCAGGCATCAGGCTTAGTGATGCCCTTTTTACTAACAAGACATTTGTCTTTCAGGTGCATCAGCACCACATACATTGTCATTTCACTTACATCATCTATTAAATTCATTTTCTGTTTCAATGTTTTATGAAAACAATGCTCACAGAGTTAAATCACATTAATTTTATTGGCACTCATATCTTCAGCTACTGAAATAACTCTCTGTTGTTTTAAATTCTCTTTTAACCTTTATATGTGTTTCCATATTTTTCAGAGGCTCTTACTTAAGTGTATATAATGCTTCCAGTCTAACTTTCAAATTGCTCATTATATAAACTTGAAAAAAATTATAGTACATGCTCATATTTTAAAATAAATAATTTATTTAAATCTTTGCTTTTTAATTTTATTTATGTATTGCCTTTGTAACTAATAATAATACTTTACTTCCAACTAGTTAACATTCCATCAACTAAGTGCAGGTTATAAATTCCCCTTGTTTTGGACAACTAGGTTGTTTTTCATACTTTTCTCCTAGGAAAGATCTTCTCATAAACATTTCCTGTGTCTCTGTACAGAGTGGACTTGGTGCAAGACAGATGCTCACCCTCTTAAAGTATCTTTGTGCTGAGGATCTTTGCTCAAAATAGCTGAATTTGTTTATACAACCTACTGTGAGTGAGAGTTTGGGATTCCCTACATCCTCAATGGCATTTTATTTTATTTTTATTTTAAATGTGCAGTATCATTTAGCACCTTTCCACTCTCAGTGGCTTCATTACTTACTCAGAAGTATGCCCACTGGAATCAAAGGTCACTCAAATCCCACATTATCTAACGTACTTAATGCCTAGAATTACAATTGTTAGAAACATATATGATAACAACCAATAAAGTTGTCTGAGAAAAAAAAATTATCAGTCCTATCTACTGTAATTTTTAAGAGAATTATGTAAATGTCATTATTTCAATCATGCATGATTTTAGTTAATATTTCTTGGTAAAATAACTCAATATCTAGTATCTCTTCCATTACAAACTTTTGGTAAATAATCTTTGTTAATTTTTACCTCAATTTTCAATTTAAGTTTTAAAATAAGTTAGATGGTTTCCTAAAATATTACTGAAATTTTAATTCTGCTTATATTAATTTGATGGATTCATCCTAGGACACTGCCATCTTCACAATGTTGATTTATGCAATCCATAACGTAGTATAACTCTTACAGGGTATTGGTGTTTTGTATTTTTTGACATTGTTATTTTCTTCTATTAACCCCTTATACATTCATTGTCACATCATTTAAATACATTTTTATAATTTTCAGTTAATATGCATTATCAGTGCTGTACTTTTTAGAATAAAAAAAAAGTTTAGCAGCAAGGCCTCTATTCCATGAGCAGAATTCCATAGTGCTGCTTTTGTTGGGGCTTCAGGAGTCAGCAGTAAAAGGGAGAGTGACAGATGAGAAAACAGAATTGGTTAAATCTGAGCTCCTTTTTCAGTCACTGGAGACATATGTGAGACCCAAGCTTACTGTGCCAGCTCAAGGTTGGTCGTCATGTCTTTCTGATGTGGCTGGAATTCATGTTCCTCCATCCATACCATTATCTTTCTGAACAGGTTCTGCAACTTCAGGGACAGAACATATATTACAAACCAATCTGACAGTCCATGCCAATCACCATGATGGTGTCAGAGAACATGGTGTGAGTAATTTGTCAAGTTGTCTTGAAGGCCAGAATTCCTGATCAGTAGGTCAGGAATGGCAGGTCTAGATCATTCTGAACGGTTTGTGTCCAAAAGGGAATTCTGGGACTGCAGAGGTAATTTGTTCCCACATGGGAATTCATCCAGGGGCAAAAAAAAGGTCATGAAGAAAGAATATCTCAAAGAAGTCTAAGAGGGAGGTTCCTCTCTCACCATCTTGAAAGAAAAACTCTCTTTGATACCTTTGAAAGAGGCTGACAGGCATCAGTTTGATATTTCCATTGTATTAATGAACTCAGGGCCTCCCTCAGCCCCCTTGCCCATGAAGGCTCCTTCATCAGGGTGACTCAATACCATCCTGTCCATATCCTAAGGCCGGCTTTGAGCCCTCTCCCCTCACCCAGGCTTCAGTCCCTCCTCTCCACAAACATATGCTGGGTCTAAACAGTCTCCCTCAGTGATCCTAGCTAGACCCACAGCCATCACGCTTCCCACCTCTTTGTTCATCTGCTCTGAGGCATCTGAATTTTTCTTCACAAACTTAGTTCAGATTCTCTGTCTTCCTTGTCTACCCCTCTGATGGCTCCTCTACCACCCTTGCTGAGCTCTCCTGTCATCACTCGGTAATGACATCTTATTGTATTGATATTGTTACTCAATTGTCTTATCTCTTCCACCAGATAATGTCTGGTCCATGAGGACAGAAGCACTTCTTGTCTTGTCCTCCCGGTTTCCTGAGCCCCTAGACCTAAGTCTGACACATAGTAAGTGCTCATTGAATGTGTGGATGGACAGACATTTGTGTTGTCCCAGGGGTTTGGGAGATCACAGCTTTGAGGCCTTAGCAGAGGGCAGGAGACAGAACAGGTGGATGATGCCAGCCCTGAGCACACCCAGACCCTTTAGGAATGGACCACAAGCACTCTCTGATATCCAGGTTCAGGGCACTCCTGGCTGATATGCTAACCATTTATTCAAGTTTAATATCATCATGGACATAAAATAAATTGTAAGATTTATTTTTCAGAAACAGTCTATGTAATTTTTACCTGGCTTGTGATCCTGTCCAGGTCCCAGCATCTACAGGACAAAACCCAGCCTGATCTAAGGATGGAAGTGGATGACAGTGATGCACATTGAGGGGTCATGTAGGCAAACCTCCTCTTTTTTCCCTGTTGTCTGGACTCAAAGTTTCCAAGCCATGAGATGAGCATGTGACTCACCCCAACTGCAACTACAAGGTGCATTGTACTGTCCAAACCAATCAGACAACCTCCAATCAGCATGATGGTGTCCGGGAAGATGGTGTGAGTGATCTGGTCTAGTATTCCCAAAGGCAAAAATTCTTGGTCAGTTGGTCAGAGTGCATTTTGTTATTCTGGAGGATTTGTGTGTTAATATGATATCCCAGACTGAGCAGTATCTTGTTTGCACATGGGAATTTAGCCTAGGGACAGAACAGGACATGGAGAAGAGACACCTCAAATAAAACTCATGGTGGGATACCCCCTTGCCATTTGAAGAGAAAAAGGTCCTGTGACAACTTTGAAAGAGGCTAGGAGGCTGTTGTCTAAGTTTCCATCATGGTAATGAGCTCAGGGCCTCCCTCAGCCTCCTTGCTTATGGAGGCCCCCTCAGCAAGGGGTTCACATCCACCCCATCCAGTTTTCAAGGCTACTCCTGAGTTCTCTCTCCCTACCCAGGCTTCAGTTCCTCCTCCCACAAACACAGGCTAGGCCTGACCTTTCTCTCTAGTGACCCCAGCTGACCCCATGGACTTCACGCTTCCTGACTCCTTGTTCATCTTCTCAGAGGCATCTGTACTTTTCTTCATAAACTTGAGTCCGATCCTGTGTCTTCCTTGCCCAACCTTCTGATGGCTCCTCTACCCCCAACTGAGCTCTCTATGTGATGACATAATATTGCTAAATTGATATTTTTACTTGATTGCCTTATCTCTTCCACCACTCAGTGTCAGCTCCATGAGGACAAGGCCCCTTCCTCTCTTGTTCATCCTGTGCCTTGAACCCCTGGATCTGAGCCTGACACACAGTAGGTTATCAGTGAATGATGCGGATGGATAGACCTCTGGGAGTCAACTATCCTGAGATAGACACTATGACCCTGGTCCTGTTTTGACCCATTATGGACTTGGTTTCCAGGACAGACAGATCTTGATATTGAGGGATTTCTCTTAATATGAGACAATATGACAATTTGTTACTGCCAAGAGTTGGATGTGAGGGTAAAACTGAGAGGACGGGAACACATTCTCTAAAGAGTGTTCACTGGAGTGAGTTGTAAAATCTAATTTTTACCAAACAAATGAAAACCAATATTAAGCAACTGACTTGCCCAAGAAGTGGGGGCTGCACAGAGAAGCCCCATTGCTGGGCGGGCCGCAGGTTTTTCTCCCACTTCCCTACTGGCCTGCAGCACTGCCTGAGCCTTGGTGCTTGTATTTCAAGCTGAGCATAAAAATCAGTCTTTTCCTCTGCCTGGAGTCCAGAGATGCTCAGAGAAGCCATGGTCCTCAGCCTGGAACCTCAGAATTGGGCTTATGCCCCTAAGGGTTGATGACTG